CAAAAAATATATACGCTCTGAGCGAATGACGACCGACACTAGCATACGTCTACCAAAAAGCGAAAGGAACTACGTTCCGACCGAGGGTCCATAGACCCCTGACGCCGTTTTTTAAAGTACATAATCGATCATCGACGTACAATTTCACTCATAAAACACAAAAATGTAAGTAATTACAGGTTTTGGAAACTGTATTTCGCGAACAACTTGGCAAAAACTGCGAGTTTTGATTCCTGAACTATTTATAATATGTACCTACAGATTTGTACATAACCTACTCGCACTTGTCCGCTTTTTTTGACTTGACAACGTCTTATAATTCGATGGAGCCGGCTGCACGCACGAAAAAAACATGACTCATGCGGCGTTACCTCGCTCTGAGGCGTTCCATTTAAGGCGTGAAGTGCAAGCGAGAGCGCGGAACGAATGACAAAGAGGCACAATCGGCCTCCGCGTTCGGCAGCGTTCGACATCTGTCTCTCTCCTACTTGAGTGAGCGATGCGTCCGCGTGGATAGCTGCTACTCGTATACAATAATACATTTTTGAAAAATGCAACCATTCCATCAGTATTTTCTTATGACGTTGTCCGTTCAACTATCGTCAGTAAACCGACTTTACAGACAACCGATTTTTTTTTAGAACCCTCTCGTACTTAAGACATGTGACAATGAACCAATTAGAAAAATAAAATCGACTCTTAATCTTTTTAAATTGCTTGAATTTTAATTACTTTTACATCATAGGAAAAAACATGAAGCAGGTTTTAATTTAAACCAGCTACAAACAATCCTAAAAACTGCTTTCAGTTTCGTGCAACAGATTTTTTTTTAAATCCGTTTGACAGGCAATTCTTTGTTTCAATCTACATTCGGTTTTAGAGTCACCAGTTGAGAGTTGCCTTTTGAGTCCTCCCCCAAAATCAGGAAGAGGAGGAGTTTTGGGCTCCGGTAACTTCACTCTTCTCTTCACTCTCTTTGGTGTCCACTATTTTACTATTCCACTCCACTTTTACTAAATATTTGACAAAATAGATTTCTTCTAAAGTGTGTGTTAATGTATGTCTTTAGAGTCTAAGACGATTTTAAATATTTTTTGGAACCAAGTTCCTTATCGCGCTTTGAACGCTCTGAGTAGATGGGATGGGATGGGAGGGACCGAAAAAATGTGTAACGAGATTTTTTTGCGATACTTCGGTTAGCGCGTCGACGCTCACATCTTTTTCACATTTCATAAATATAACAAACGTCTACCAAAAAGTAGAACTTCGTGCCGACCGCTTCCATAGACCCCTCACGCCGTTTTGTTTATTTATGAAATAAAGATAGTTTGTGTTTCAGTCCGGTCGAACGGGCGCAATTGTGTCGAAGCATAGCTCTCACACAGAAAAACTATGTGTTATTCGTAGTTTATCTTTGTTAGTCAATCAATTTGTTTGTCTATGGCAGTCCCCTGATGAACACAGTCCTTCCTCTACCAGCCCTACCTACCTATTATCAGGTCGACCCATCTATTTGGGACGTCCTACCTTCGGTCGGTCAGCGATCTCCACTCTAAGATTCTTAAGATGCAAGGATCATTGGTCTTTGGACAATTGTTCCGCTTGCTCCATGACCAACGTATTGCACCTTCAGCAAGCTTATACTCCGAGCTATGTCGATAACTTGAATTGTATGTTGGATGACCTCATTTTGAGTTTTATCTTTCAACGAATTTATCTCCATAGGACGCTAGGCGACTTTGAAAAGAAACAAAACCGCGGGTAATAGCTAACATAATATATACCTAAACCATAAACGCACATTTAGCAACAAAATGTTGTATATAATTCCCTCGTCCGTTATTTAACGTTTTTAGCTGTAAAGCTGTAACAGTCCTGCACACTTCCTTCGCTGTGATTACTTGATCGTTATCGGCACGCAACGCTACCGCCCGCACGGAAGAGGTCGCGGCCTTAGCTTTACTACTTGACAGAGAATAAGGCGGGAAATACGCATACATTTTTCGAGGTTATCTTCGTCGTCCTGACACTTAATAGTAACAAACCTCTTTGGTAATTATCAAATTTATTTTTAATGTTTACGTAATTGTAGATAAACTAATACCTAACTACTTATTATCTGTTACTCTCACTATTATCTGTATATATAAAATATTTAATAACTTAAAACACCTACTTTAGAATAAGTTTTAAGTAAGGTAAAATAAAACAATAAATGTTTATAGTTAAAAGAAATTTAGAAAAAAATATGACAGCAATTTGTAAAGCATTTAAACTTGGTTACTTTGTGAATTGGTTCACGGTTATATGGACACGTCTGACTCTTAGATACTGACACAGCAAAGACTTCCAAAATACTGCACCAAACACACTGTTTTAAATAGTTTTGAAATGTACTTTTGCAAATTATGCATTAGGCCGACTGGGTGCGTATCATACCTGAAAAGTAAAATAACAATAACCTACTGCGCCATATTGAACTTATTTTATTGTAACAGTATTTTATGAATTTCAAGTCATCATAATATATATTTAATACACTGTTTTTTTTAATTAATTATAGTCTTACTTGGTAAATGACGTTTTCGTGCCTAAACAATATTAAATAGCAATTAAGCAGCAAACAGGTTGAACTTAATGGTTAGATAAAAAATTACATACTTCTTTTCTTTACAAACATAAGTAATCTATTAATTCCGACGTGAAGAAAATTCTTTGTGGGCCCAAAGTATTTTTAAGCAATATGGCGTAAACATATCATATTTGGAATACTTAACGTTTATATGTGGAAGTAGTGCATAAAGCTAAAATGATTAAATATTTTTTTACCAATTTATATCTAGTGCACATAGTCCCTCATATTTGCTCCACCCTAAGGCTATATGCCTGTAACATTAAGTCCGCTAGTGTACATAAAAACACAATTACTGAATAACACAACATTTTCTAGCATTTTTATTCCTGCAACACCGTATTTATTTAGAAATTAGCATGGCTGTTAGTAATTAAAAAACACTTAAAACTCATATGGTAATGACACTTAATACTTACAAGTTCAAACCATAAAGAATATGATGGTAAGTTTCTATAATAAAAAAAAACGGAGGCACTCCAGGAGTGCCATCATATTTTTTTTTATTAAAACAATAAATTTTTTCTATTCGAAAAGTTCCGACGTTAATATATTTCTCTGTCGTACGTATATACACAATATGTGTTTATATTATAGGTATATAGTTAAATTATCAATGTATTTCAACACAAACTCAACTCTCGTGTAAACGGGGCCAATATACATATGTAGATACTTATACACAGAGGTGTCGGTAACGGTCACGGTGTTGCAAGTTCAATGGTTTTTTCCCATCTCAAAAAATACATTATTTTGTTTGTTGTTCAAAAATTCTCAACGCGCCTAAAGAAGTATTCTCTTCAAAAAAAGACGTGTGGTTTTGTGGGACGCCGAACCAAGCTCATTGTGCTATTTGACAAATATTACATTATAAACTTTAGTCAAGGTATTTAAAAAAAGATATCTTAAAATGGGTAGGTCACATGATGCGGGAAAATAAAGGGAAATGGAGCAAAGCTGTTACAGAATGGTACCCAAGGGATGGACGCAGAAGCCGAGGAAGGCAAACATAACATGGGAAAATGAGATCAAGTTGACAGTGGGACCAATGTGGAGAAGGGTTGCTCAGGACAGACAACAATGGAAATCGTTGGAGGAGGCCTATGCCAAAAGGCACACCGAATTAAGAGACATAGTGTAACTAAAATCATGTAACATGAAAATGAACCTGTGTAATCTCTTACTTTGGTATAAGGGGCTATTATATATTATAATTTAAAATAAACAAAAAAGTATAAAAGTGACGGGAAAAAGTTTTGTTAAACATGTTTCGGTCTCGCTCCCATCCGCTCAGAGCGTGTATCGCGAGATAAGGCACTTCGTTCCAACAGTTACTATATCTATAACTAGTCTGTCTGTCTGTTTACTAGTCCACTGCTGGACATAAGCCACTCCTTAGTAGTAGGTCGACCAACAAACTCTATACCAACCCGTCTCAGGCCAGCTTGATTACTACACCACGCCCAAGACGGGTTGATATAGAGTTAGTTTCAGGTTTTCCTTCTCTTTGCAGTGCTGTTGTCCTGCATAGTTTGCTTCCTTAGTCGGCTCTTAAAACACCCACGGTCTGAATGAGGGTGGTGACACTCCGTATTCTTAATCCTTCGCCACACGTACGGTAACTATGGAAACAACAGTTAATATATATAGCTAGATTTAAATATCGGTAAAAAGTCTTTTACCCTATGTCTTTCCTAGAGAATCAAAGTATTTACATACCAAATATCATCTAAATCCGTTTAGCGGTTAAAAAAGTAAGAGTATTTTCCTTCAACAATCTCTAACAGATGTCCAACCTTGTTGAAATTGTGTGTTTTGTGGTAAGAATTTGAAGCTTTGTGTCAGGTGTGTTCTGAGGTGAGGAGTTCTAATCAAAGAGTGACAACGCACTTGTGACTTCTTAAGTTGCAAGTATTCATGGCCGTTGGGAGTCAGTTACCATCAGGTGCCCCATCTGTTCGTTTGCTGCTATAATGTGATTGACTCTGGAGCTATTTATGAGCTTTACTGATTTTAATAAAAAAAAAAGGTTTTTTTTTTACATAAACATTTTTTATAGGCCGAATATACTACCTTTAGTGTGAGTTATAATTTAGAAAGAAAAAAACACTTTTCCTGACTTTGAAATAAAAAAATCTCTTTCATGTAGGTACTTAGCTCTGTTTTAAATTTTATTGCAATAAAAAATAAAAATTCAAAAATGTAAAAATAAATCGTATAATTCTTAATATTTAATAAATTGTCATCACCTTCGGCGTCACGAGGTTATCACACAGATGTCTTCCATTTAACGTCCATTGATAAAAACTTAAAAAAACCGTATTATTTATAAAAATAACATAATTACATGAGTAGGTGAACTAATAGTTTAATGTGACATTAAATAAGTTAATGCAAGTAAAAACGTGAATAGACTTCCCATTGTAATTGAGGTTGCGGAGCCTGTAACAAAAAAAAAACAATTTCAATTACCATAGATATTGACATGTACATAAATTGGCGCCAACTCAACTGGCCTTAATTTAAAGAAGTTACTAAGAAAGAAGCCAATGTTGTCAGGGAAGTTCTGAGCTGTGTAACGTTTTAGAAATAGCCGAAAAATCTATACTAATATTATAAAGCTGAAGAGTTTGTTTGTTTGTTTGTTTGAACGCGTTAATCTCAGGAACTACTGGTCCGATTTGAAAAATTATTTCAGTGTTAGATAGCCCATTTATCGAGGAAGGCTATAGGCTATATATCATCACGCTAAGACCAATAGGAGCGGAGCACCAATGAAGAATGTTTCAAAAACGGAAAAAATTTATTACTATTGAGAGAAGCAGACGAACTTGCGCGGGTCAGCTAGTGTTTAAATATGTTTAAGAAATAATATTTTCTTTGTCGTGTGTCATTACTATACAAAAAAAACTGCATCTGTCACAAAAATTACACTTAATTAAAAATTTAATTACAGTTACATTACATCCAATCATCAGCCTTTAACAGTCCACTGCTGGACATAGGCCTCTCACTAGAAAGGAGGTTTAGGCCTACTATACTACGTCGGAGAGACGGATTGGTATTGGGTTTGTTTCAAGTTTTAACATGTATTTAGAAATATATAAGTATGTTTATCAGCAGTCTGGTTACCATAGTACGGTATCTTTCTAATGTGGGATTAGACAGCCACCACACATCAACAGCCTTTAATAGTCCATTGCTGGACCTAGGCCTCTCCTTAGAAAGGAGGTTTTGACCTTCTAAATCACGCTAGCCAGACTTTTGGTTTGTGTTAAGTTTTCATCCTCTTTGCAGTGCTGTTGTCCTGCGTAGTTTACTCCCTTAGTCGGCTCTTGCCTCAAACGGGATGAATATGGGTGGTGACACTCCGTATTCTCCTTAATCCGTCACCACACGAACGTAGTAAAATAATAATAATTCAACAGAAAATAAAAACTTACTGCATGTATGCAGTTCCTCGGAGTATGGATAGTCGAAAGAGCACTGACACATGCTATTCCTGCACACCACTCTCTCTGACATACCCTGTAAGAAGCACTGGCTCGTTCTGGAACAATCTTCGAAGAGACCTGGCAAAACACATGAAGCTAATTATTTTCTTTTTTATTATTTTTAAATTTGTCGTTCTGTATTTAAATTAAACCAAACATTCAATGATATGACAATAGCGTGTGACGTCATAAACCGTTAGTTCACACTAGTTTTTTTTTCAGAAGTTTTTTTTTAGATAGGAGAATTTGGCCTACTACACCACGCCGGCCAGACGGGTTGGTATAGGGTTTGTGTCAAGTTTTCCTTCTCTTTAAAGTGCTGTTGTTCTGTGTAGTTTGCTCCTTTAGTCGGCTCTTAACACTAACGGGATGAATAAGCGTGGCGACACTCCGTATTCTTAATCCGTCACCACACGGATAAGGACAACCGCCAATATCTAATTAAAATAATAATTCAGCCTACAAAGAGTACACTTACCAGTATGGGGCCAGCAGTTTTGGTCTCTAAAATGGTGACCAGCGATACACGAACAGCTATTCGCCTCACATTCACTGTTTTGGCCAATCAACGCCACACACTGTTCTGTTACAGTGCAGTTGCTGCTTAAGTCACTTAGTGCTGTGAAAATTAAAAAAAAACCGGTCAGGCAAGAGTCGAACTCGTGCGCCGAGGGTTCCGTAACTACCCAGATTTTACAACAAGTACAAGACCAACATTTGATATTTAAAAGTTATATACGAATCACGGCCCAAGAACTTTCACGAACAAAGTTGGTCAGGTCGTTGTCACTAGATGGCGCTAAAATAATTTAATAAAAAAATACATCACTTACCAGGCAAGCATACATTATTAACACCGATGAAGTTATCAGCACATTGGCAGGTCTGACTGGCGCCAGACGTTGCGCAGACAGTGTTAGCTATCACACATTGGGCATCTGCTGTACAGGATCCTCCGATTCCTGGAAAAAACGTTACTAATCTATACTAATATTATAAAGCTGAAGAGTTTGTTTGTTTGTTTGTTTGTTTGAACGCGCTAATCTCAGGAACTACTGGTCCGATTTGAAAAATTATTTCAGTGTTAGATAGCCCATTTATCGAGGAAGGCTATAGGCTATATATCATCACGCTAAGACCAATAGGAGCGGAGCACCAATGAAGAATGTTTCAAAAACGGAGAAAATTTATTACTATTGAGAGACGCAGACGAAGTTGCGCGGGTCAGCTAGTTGAAAATATTTAGCACAAATAAAGTTTAAATTACATATTTATTTGACAACTAGCTAAACCCGCGTGGATTTCCGCAACCGAGATCCTTTTTGTTTATATTAAAAGTTATATCTGCTTAGGTAATTCTCAATTTACTGTATTTTACATTACTTTAATGTATATCTGCTAGTTTACGCGACGTATGCGAGTAAAGCTCCCAGTAGGCAAGTTTTTTGAGACCTCTTCAACAATAATCGTTATATTTCAGTCAATTAACATAAAACCATAATGAATTATACACCTTAACCTGCCCTAAGAATCACGCTATCTATTGGTGAAAACCGTACAACAGCAGTCCGGTAGTTTTTCAGTTTATTGCGTTCATACAGACAGACGCGGCCGGGGGATTTCATCTATACAAACAGATAAAATTTGAGTGTTTGTTTGTAATATTAAAATAACCGCTTTTTACTAAATGCAAATGTATGTTTACACGGTACATATGCCAAAATAAAAAAAAAATCAATTTTTGACTGTCTGTCTGTCTGTTTGTTCCGGGTAATCTGTGGAACGGCTGGACCGATTTCGACGGGACTTTCACTGGCAGATAGCTGATGACATAAGGAGTAACTTAGGCTTTTTTTACACTAGCTTCTCCCCGCGGCGTTGACCGCGGTTATAACAACAAACGCGGGTAACACCGCGGGGTTCAGCTAGTTTTATAATATGTAAGGATTTTGAAATTTTAATGTACCTAATAACTGTAATTTGTCAAGGAAGGAGTGCTTATTGTAAGACTGTTAACCATGACTGGCTTGGGCAGAATAACAGCGGATGGCGTGCTTTGCACTGTCATCCATACGCTGAGACCAGGACCATTTTGTCTTTCAAGTATTATTTTTATGCAAGAATTGTTATTAATTTTAAGTACTCGATGTAAAAGACAAATAAAGTTTTTCTTATTCTTATAAAATACTTCCACAGTACTTCTATAGTTTGTGGGGCTCATAGGGCGGCAATGAATTTATATATCTCGAGTCGGTAACCACTTACCATTAGATACCACGTCTTCTCATTTGTCTCTTACTAAATAAAAATATTAATTTAAAACAGATAAATGAATTACCTGGTGCACAAATTCCGCCGGTCTCCAAGTATCCTGAACCGCAAGAGCATACACCTTCCGAACATTCTGTGTTTGCTGTTCCCGTACACTCGCTCGTAACTTGGCAGGATGCACCTAATACTGTTAATAGTAATAATGATAATGATTAATAATAATGATAATGATAAAATTAGACTCAATCATTTTAATGTTTTAATAATTCCCAGCTTCATTAATGAAAAGTTTCTTCTTAAATATATTTCGTAACACATGCTTCGGGATATTTTAGACCGCCTCGACGGTGCATCACAGAAAACCTTATTTTGAATATTTTTGCACGACGATTTACGATTCACGATTTCACGACTACAATTAATTTGCTAACTGCTAATAAAGTATTCACAATTAAATATGAATGTGAAGACTATTTATTAAATCACTATAACTTACCCAATCCAGAAGAAAGACACAATCCATTTTCTGCCACAGTATTCGGTGGGCATGTGCAGATGCCTTGGCCAGCTGCGTTGGTAACGCAGTTAATCTCCAGATTTCCAGCCAAACAGTCTGAATTCGTTTCACAAGCATCACCAATTCCTAAACAAAAAAATTAAAAGAATAAAAGACTTCTTGGAGAACATATTTATCTTCTGGATTGATGATTAACTTTTGAAAACAGTATCAATGCGCTTCTATCATGAATTATAATAAACTGTTTTCATCACCATCAGGCTATCGCAGTCCACTGCTGGACATGGGCCTCTCCCACGCCACTTAGATCGATTTTGGGCTTTTATAATAAACTGTATTCATCATCATCATCATCAGCCTATCGCAGTCCACTGCTGGACATGGGCCTCTCCCACGCCACTTATATTGATTTTATGCTTCTCGCATCCAGCTCCTGCCAGCCAACTGTATTCTTCGTTCCTTAATTTTCATCCGTTGAGGATGGCGTTTTTACTTCACATTTGAAAACTGAAATTTTTGTAAATATTGAAACCATTCTAAATCCTCCTCCTAGCCTTTTTTTAAACTGGGTTGGGGTCGGCTTCGACTTTTACGCGGAGTCACTGCCATCAGACCTTCACAACCCAGGTAGGAGGTAGCTAGGCGATATCGTAGTTCTATAGAAAGACTATTGTTGAAATTTTTTTAGGATCTCCAAAAACCGATAACTATTGCCACAGATATGGCAACCAAGATTAAGGCTTAACGTGCTCTCCGAGGCACTAGGACCATTGTCAATAAAACAGGATTTTTCAAATCGGTTTAAATGTGATCGAGTTCCGAGGTAAGAAACACGAAAAAAATACCTCCAGTTTTTGAAGTCAAATCTAGCAGGAATAAATAATTAACTGATAATTGTTTTTTATTTTTTTTTTTTTTAAAGACAACTCCCGCACTAGGAATAAATCCTGTGTCGCGGGGGACCTTATAAACATACATGAAACGGACACAAAGTCACCCAGACTCAGAACAACAATTTTGTGGATCACACAAAGTGTTATCCCATGTGGGGTTTGAACCCACAACACTCGGCGCAATAGAAAGCGGCGTGGCGACCGCTTAAACCACTACGCCATCCGTGCAGTCAGTCAATTGATTTTTGTGCACCTTTTAAATTTGTATCAATAATTTTATTTAGTGCCATATAAATTAGTATTTTTGTATTATGTAATGTTGTCTTCATCACAGTAATCGAAAGCAGTTTTGAGTTAGCATCATAGAACGTAAATATTCTTAAATACGAATCGATGATATTTCTTTCTTAAAAATAAACCAACCAACCCACGAATCTTCGACACATGCTTCTCGCTTCATCCCAGACTGAGATACCAGGGGTACACTCGCAGTGTCTCAGCCCCCAGGGGCTGATTGGGGGTGTACAGCGCGCTGCAGTCCCGAAGGTATGGCACATAACATCATTTAGACAGAAATCATTCAAGTTACGGGCCACTGTGGACAAACAAAATTGATATCTAATACAAAAATGCCTGAAATATATATGGAAATGCAATTTTAGAGACAAAAAGTTATAATAATAATAATAACCTCACACATCTCACACACGGCTGTCTAATCCCAAACTAGGCAGAGCTTGTACTATGGCAATCAGACTGCTAATAAACATACTTATATATTTCTAAATACATACATATTACTTAAAGATAAATTACACCCAGACACAGAACAAATAGTCGTGCTCTTCACACAATATTTGTCCTGGGTGGGAATCGAACCCACGCCCTCCGGCTTGGCGGTCAGGGTACCTAACTACTAGACCAGGGATTCCTAAACTGGGCCACTTGGGCTCGAAATCGGTTTCCAACATCACATCATCACATCAACAGCCTTAATAGTCCACACTGTAGGATTTGTTTCAAGTTTTCCTTTTCTTGGCAGTTCTGTTGTCCGGCGTTTGCTCCTTTCATTCCATCGTTGTAATCAGTCTCTATTGTAATCTATATCCGTCACCACATCGACAATTCTAAATACATACATAATAATTAAATAAGACAGAAACACTCAAATGATTCTGCTGTGAATGCTCATCACACAGTCACTTGTTCTGGATGAGAATCAACCTCTGGACTAGCAATCAGGATCACTGACCGCTATCCGAACAGGCTAGTGAGATACGGGTACGTACGTACGTACGCACAGGTAAGGGGGGGTCGTCTACCCCCCGTAGATGGCCCGAGGTACGTCGGGGCACCAGGGATTTCCTTTCTAGGGTACACCTGGTTCCCCGACTACTGGAACCTGAGACGGCCGGCGTGCGGTTTTAGTCGGTTCGAGTCCGACATTGCCACCGATAAGTGGTATCCGAGGCTAGATAGAGGTATTGAATAAACATTTACCTCGATAGTGACATACAGCCTGGATGTCTATCACATTCATCAACCTTTCAACCACACCCCTGATCTACGTTCACCATCTTGCCTATACATTTCGCGCCTCGATTTATTAGAGTTTATGAAAGTATCAGAAATTATGAAAATTGATTTCATAACCTCGAAAACAAAATAGGTATTGCTTTTAATATTTCTAAACTTACGTACCTTTGATGCAGTTCCTCATATCTTCTTCAAAGAAGAAGTTAGCCCGACAGGTGCAGATTCCATTTCTCACTTCAGCTAAAAATCCTACGCACTGTTCTGGCGTAGATGGAGATCCCAGCTCTGAAATAAGATTATCAGTTTAATTATCGGGACCAACAAAAATGTTAACGTTTTGGCTATAACTGATGCAGCATTTTACTGCTTAAAGAGGTACCACATCTGAAACCATTAGAAGCCAAAATCTTTGCAAATAAGCTCATAGTTCCTTAAATAATACAATAACAGAATTCTTTGTATGGAAGAAAGTTATTTATTAAAAAAAAACTCACCAGCATAACAGAAATCACCTCGCCCAGACCAGTAATATCCAACTGGACACACGCATGAACCGAATACAGAACATACATAAGGAGCAGGGCAATTGTTAGTAGCAGAACACAAGGCGCCATGTTGTGACGGTATGTTAACGGATCCGCCATCTTGTTGAGCCATTGGATTAATTAGTTTTTGTGTTTCGACAGCTTTTTCTTTTGGAATGGTCATTTGAAGCCCTAAAAATGAATTAAAGTTTTAATATTATGTAATAAAATGTGTTCACGTGCTGTCTGTATACTGTTAGTCTAAAAATGTTCTTCAAAGAGTATTTTTGTCTGTGTGCTGATCCTTCAACCAGGTTAGGTGATGCCTGGTGGGCCTCCGTCCGACGACTGTTGTTGGAAAGTTGTATATACGCTAATCAGCGTGAGAACTTTTTATATCGCGATAGAGGTTTATCAGTAACTCCGTAGTTCGGTGAGTCTTCGTGAGATGGCGCTGTAGTACGTTTTTGTTTCATTGTAGTGGAAATCGCTACAGTGCTCACAAAAGTGTGTTAACAATAACGATATTTATGCCGTTTTGAATCCGCCTCATGAACTCGACACACTAACACATATTTAAAATTCATAAAATACTAACTGTACCCTAGCACATCCTTGTGGCACGTTCTAGTTGCATTGATGATAAATAATGACAAAAGTGACGCGAAAAATAGATAAAAGCAATCTTTGAAGTGGATTGTGAAATGTTGTGCCAAATTTTGAGCTCAATCGTTGCAAAAGTTTTTGAGTTTCTGAAGACGCAAACCAACTTCAGATTTTAGGAGATGGAATTAATATTGGTGCAGGTACTTACCTCCAACAGAAGCATAGCAGCTAAATGTCAAAATATTACACCTTCCATTCGGAAATTGACAGTCCTCGTCCAAGACACAGCTATGGCCGACAGCTAAAATATGGTAAAATAATCCATAAAGAAACATAAATTAGGAAAAAAGAGCATGCAAGTGATGATGATGATTATTAGACATGGAAATTATTGGTACTTTTGAATCACCACCACCAACCACCAACAGCCTATAACAGTCCACTGCTGGACATAGGCCTCTCCTTAGAAAAGAGGTTTTGGCCTACTATACCACGCTGGCCAAACGGGTTGGTATAGGGTTTGTTTCAAGTTTTCCTTTTTTTGTTTTTTTTTTTTTGTTTTTAAGTTTACTTTTGTATCATAATCATATAAAGAAATGATTAGCTAATTTACAGCAATTTTAGCAGTGATTGTGGTCGTAGACAAAGATAAAACCATCAAAATCAATTTATCACAGTTGTGATTATATGATTTGTAAATCATATGGTTTATCACATGTGATTATGATTTAATACCATCCCTAATGATTATGAAGAATATTATGTTCTTCTATGGACTGTTGTTGTAGTGGGGGGGGTTAGCGATCCTAACTGCCAGAGATCTTTAGTTTTGGTTCCAACCCGCATTGTGTGATGAGCACATTTCTTTATAATGTTATTTATTTATAACATACTAGCTGACCGGCGCAACTTCGTCTGCGTCTCTCAATAGTAATAAATTTTCTCCGTTTTTGAAACATTCTTGATTGGTGCTCCGCTCCTATTGGTCTTAGCGTGATGATATATAGCCTATAGCCTTCCTCGATAAATGGGCTATCTAACACTGAAAGAATTTTTCAAATCGGACCAGTAGTTCCTGAGATTATCGCGTTCAAACAAACAAACAAACAAACAAACAAACAAACAAACTCTTCAGCTTTATAATATTAGTATAGATGTATGGATTTAAAAATAGTCACATAACTAACAAATTAGGCTGAACCTGTGCTGTGGTAACAAGACTCAAAACATACTTATATACTTCTAAATACATACATATGATAGATAACTAACACTCAGATACAGAACAAATGATCGTACTCATGACACAATTATTTGTCCTGATTGGGAGTCGAACCCAGAGTCAATGACTACTAGACAAACAGCCCTGTCAAGAAGATTGCATAATGATGATGTCATTTCAGGTTAATTCTTCGTTTAAATATCAATTTGGCTCAACGGAGCAATCAATCACTCACCTGGAGCAATAATCCTACATTCTCCTGCTTGTCTTCTGTAATAACCATCTGCACATCCACATGTGCTGGTTGAAGCAATACAAGACATGCTGAAAGGATCCTTCTTCACTCCGAAACAGTCTGCGTTCCGAATACAAGCCTCCCCATAGTCTGTCGAACGCCAACATCGGCCATCTTGGTAGTGAAAATCGTCACGGCAGAAGCAGTTGCCTTCTGGAAAAGAATATTTATCGTATGTTAAATTTCATTCATCATCATCATCATCAACAGCCTTTATATTATGATGAAACTGATATCATTGTTAGAACTTTTACACATACTCATGTTTGGCAAAATAAAGTCTTGATTTCATTTGATTTAATAGTCCACTGCTAAACATAGGTCTCTCCTTAGAAAGGAGGGTTATGCCTTCTATACCTCCCTTTCCAGATGGGTTGGTGTAAAGTGTTCCTTCTCTTTGCAGTGGTGTTGTCCTACGTATTTTGTTGGCTCTTGTGACACCAACGAAATGAATAGGGGTGGTGACACTCCGTATCCTTAACCTATCACACGGACAACAAAACCGGTATTCCGGTCTAATTTAGACTTAGTTTCAAGTTAACCGAAAGAGTATGTTTTTTATTTAAGTAAACACCTCACCTTGTGTATTATTACTTCCTCTGCACTCGAAATTGGTGACGAGTCTTGAGCATTGCTGGTCTTCCAAACACGACGATGTGAGATACGGAGCCGCTAAAATAATTAGAAAACGCAGTATTAATAATTGACTGAATACTTAGAGAAATACAATGATGGTGTAGGAGCACATTTTTATGGGTTTTTTGTCCTTAAATAATACCCGTTTTATGCAACATTTTTGAATGATGCACGGCACGATCTACAGGCTATCCAAAACTAAAGCAATTTCTCATTTTACACCAGTAGTGCCTTAGATTAGAGCGTTTAACTAAACAACCTTTTCAGATTTATTATCTTCTTATATATAAAATTCTCGTGTCACAATGTTAGTTACCATACTCCTCTAAAACGGCTCTACCGATATTTATGAAATTTTGTGTGCACATCGGGTAGGTCTGAGAATCGGCCAACATCTATTTTTCATACCCCTTAATGACAAGGGTGACCCACACCAAAATTTTTTTTTAATATTGCCTAGAAATAATGTATATGGCAAAACAACGTTTGCCGGGTCAGCTAGTGTTAGTATAGAAAAAACGAATGATATTAAGGCTTACCATTAGCACATAAACTGTTTCCAAATATAAACTGCTGGCCCACTGGACAAGCGCAGTTTCCAGCACTGCAAAAGGCGCCTTCTGCATCAGCGCAATCTAAATCCTGCGTACAAGTCCATACAGACAGAACTGTCTGTGACTGCATAAGAGCACCTGTAATAAAAAAGTATTAATTAAAACTCTACGGCTCTTTTTTTCGTGTGGTAACCCTTAAACGTCATCGGAATCGGAGATTCCCTCCCTATTACACCACAAGTGGGCCAGGGGTTTGGTTATAACTTAAGAAAAAAGGCCCGAAAAATCTTGGCAAATCATAACTGCCACTTGACTAGAAGAGGTCCTTAGAGAATCCGCCTCTGCAACATTGTTTTCGTGGTATAGGGCGACAAACGAATAGTTAGGTCACCTGATGGTAAGTGGTTACCGCCTCCCATCCACACTTGCAACTCAAGAGTCACAAATTCGTTCAAATTCTCCCAGAACCAAGGTTGGTTGGGCTCCGGTAACCACTTCAGTTCCGGATGTCTTAACATCAGCTGTTCCCGGATCCCTCCTATCTCAGATGGCGTAGTGGTTTCGCCACGCCGCTCACTACTACGCTGAGTGTTGTGGGTCCGATCCCCACATGGGACGATACTTTGTGTGATCCACAAATTGTTGTTCTGAGTCTGGGTGTTCTTTGTGTCCGTTTCATGTATGTTTGTAAAGTCATCCGCGACACAGGATATATTCCTAATGGGGGAGTTATCTTTTTTAAAGAATATATCAGGCGCGGAGTGGCACACTGTGTGGTTTTAGTCGGTTTGATTCCCATACACCGCCCCATCGCAAACCCCGATGGGGTAAGGGACCGAGGGGGTTTCCACACGTAAAAAAATCAAAATTCGATGAAATGGAGAATAGTACTAGTCGCACATGGGTGTTACTACAGGCGGTTGTATATTATACAAACATGAATGGCTGTATAAATACACCAGATAATATTCTTGTAAATAATAAATCAGTCTGACTTTTATTGATAATGGTAGGTGAATTGTTTATCGCAAAAGATAAAGAAATATTTTGTAACTGTGCGCTGTGCGCGTAGTGTGTGGTAACATCGACGTGGCACATGGCTTTAATAATAATTATAACATTTTCGGACATCTGACACACAATGCCATCTAGTTTCAAACTAAACAAAGCTTATGCTATGAAAGCTAGACAAAAGCCCTATACCAACCCGTCTAGCCAGCGTGGTATAGTAGGCCAAAACCTCAGTTCTAAGGAAAGGCCTATCTCCAGCAGTGGACTACTAAACTCAAACTCAAACTTTATTTCATACTAGCTGACCCGCGCAACTTCGTCTGCGTCTCTCAATAGTAATAAATTTTCTCCGTTTTTGAAACATTCTTCATTGGTGCTCCGCTCCTATTGCTCTTAGCGTGATGATATATAGCCTATAGCCTTCCTCGATAAATGGGCTATCTAACACTGAAAGAATTTTTCAAATCGGACCAGTAGGTCCTGAGATTAGCGCGTTCAAACAAACAAACAAACAAACTCTTTAGCTTTATAATATTAGTATAGAAAATTTCCACAATTGTTTGAAATCGTCTTCCATGTAGACTCTAAAGTCATAGATCAACACACACAAAAGCAACAATCTCTGTTTTGTCAAATAGTAAGCAAATACTAAAGGCTGTTGATGTTATGATGATGTTATACAGCCTAAATGCTTCCTCGATAAAAAGGTTATCCAACATTAAATTTATTTTTAATTCGAACCCGTAATTCCTGAGATTACCTCGAACATTACAAACTCGCAAACTTTTCTATCTCTTTATAATATTAGTATAGATCTCTCACAACAGTGAACAGTGAGGGAGATGAGAAGAGAAGTGAATAAGATAGAAGACTGTGAGAGATCTCATCATCATCATCATCAACAGCCTTTAACAGTCCACTGCTGGACATAAGCCTCTCTTTAGAAGGGAGGTTTTGGCCTACTATACCACGCTGGCCAGACGGGTTGGTATAAGGTTTGTGTCAAGTTTTCCTTCTCTCTGCAGTGCTGGTGTCCTGCGTATTTCGCTCCCTTAGTCGCCTCTTACGACACCCACGGGATGAATAGGGGTGGTGACACTCTGTATTCTTAATCCGTCACCACACGGAAATTGTGTGATTAGCACAATCATTTGTTCTGTATCTGGGTGTAAGTTATCTATGAAATGTATGTATTTAGAAATATATAAGTATGTTTATCAGCAGTCTGGTTACAATAGTACAGGCTCTGCTTAGTTTAGGTTTATTCGGCCGTGTGTGGGATGTGTGAAGGTATTATTACTTTTACAGATTTGTTTATGTAACACTTTCGGTATTTAGATTGCATAAGGCGGAATTAATGCCACATGGCATTATCTATTGAGCAGACTTACCACCAGAAGGACAATTCTCGTAATAAAAGTTCAGTCTCAATTCAGTTCCGATCAACTGTCTTGAAAGGTATTTTTGTAGTAAGCTCCTTAGCCCATTCGCATAATGTTTTTCAGACTTTCAAGTCAATACTTTAGCTGTCAGAGTTAAGTGTGGATGTTTAACATACCATTAATGTTTTTGATGAAATGTACACAATGAAATTGAGGAAAAGAAAAGAAAATAATTCCTACATGGATCATACGCGTCATGACCCCCTTGACTATTCTAGTTCCTACGACTTTAAGTAGGTAATTAACTAGAGCTTGTATTAAGTATACATAACTAGAAACTATTACACTGTTTTACACAAACAGACTTTTACAACTTTGACAGTCTATCTACGCCTAGCAAAACCTAATTACGAATATAAACTTTAAAAAAAGTTGAAACGACTTCAAACAATACTAACAAAGAGCACTAAAAACCTAGCAGCAATCGCGGTTCATTTCCTGCTATTTTTTGAAGAGTTACGTTGTCTGTTTTCGAAATCTGTCATCAGATCTATATGAAATTTAATTGGGACCATTTTGGAATAAACCCCTTGCGAACAAAAAAGGAATTTTGAAAATCCGTCTATATATGATGGAGTTATGTCCGCACATACATAAAAAAAATATAAACATCCGAATTGATATCCTCCTCCTTTTTGAAGTTGTTTAAAAAGACAGTCAGTGCCAAATTATTTATTTTCGAATTTCTAGGCAACAGCCATTTCGAGTTACGAGTATACGACTTTGACCTGATAAAACTATTACTTTAACTCCCTAATTCATTCATCGAAGCAATATTCTTTACTTCTTACCGATTTTCCCTTTTTATTATAATTTCAAATATTTAATTCCCAGTGTGTGCAAAATATAGGTGTTAAAGAATCCATGATAAAAGGGTAAAAAATAAAAAAAAATGTTTGTGTTATTTTCCCGCTTTTTTTGACAGTTTTGACAGTTCAAATAGATTACCAAAAATAAAATAATCGTGGAATTCATTAATAGCAGTCAGTTATCAAATAAAAAAATTACTTACCAAAGAACAAAATAAATATATTGAACCACATTTTTATTACGACATAAACTATTATTACTACACTAACATCAGTCCGGCTCAACTTTTTTTATAAAATGAAAGAGTATTTTAATCTAAGCACAGATATCAAATACTTTTTGGAAATAAGCGTTTATAATCGTTTGGAGATAATTACATAGAGTTTATGAATGTATAGATTAGGACAACAATTAACTGCCGGACTCGACCGGAGTTATATGCTTCATATGAATCCACTTTTAAGCAGTTATTTCTTTGCTTTTCACCGAGTGAATGAGGTAACCGGAGCCCAAACCCTCTTTTTCCCACCGATTCTAGAAAAATTCATTGAAAGAGCGGCAACGGATTTGTAACTTTAAGTTGCAGGTGTCCATGGGCGGTGGTAGTCACTTACCATCAGCTGACACGTCTGCTCGTGTGTCTCTTTTATACCATATCATAACAAACTAACTTAAGAACAAACGGGGCCTCTATCAAGGATTAAAACCATTTACTAAAAGTAAAACCTGTTTGGATTTTTTTACGAAATTAAGAAATTTATTAATCTGTGACTTAAATTGCCCTAGTATTTGATTGTTAGGGGTTAGAATCTTGATTTTAAACCGTTATTCTTCAATTTACATCGTCAAGGGGACCTCAGTATTTGTTTGACGACTTGAAGACGACCTTGTATCATTAAAACCAACTTCATATTTAGTATTAATAGTACAAGTTGTCACTTTCACAGTTTACTCAGAAAAAAGAACGAGTGTGCTTTAGACCACACGACTAAAGTAAAACTCCATGGCTGTAAGAGAAAGAGAGAAAGAAAATGTGTGCTCGCACTCTCTCTCTTGCCCCTACAGTAATATACGAATCGTAACTCCCTCTCTTTCTATCTTAACGATTACTTACTTACTACACTTATATTTCCCTTTCAACTTCCTTTCGCCTCGCCCGATCACACTTTTCGTAACGCTCTCGTCAAGCATTCATCAGCTTACTACCCCAAGTCATGCGTGCCACAAGAAGTTTACTTTAAAAACAGACTAACTGACAGACAGTTTGACAACAAAGTGATCTTATAAGGGTTCCTTTTTCCCTTCAGATTAAAGAAACCCCAAAAAAAGACGCTGCAATGTAATCTAAAACCGTTTCCTAACCAAGAGTTACGACAAGCGCTGGTTGTGAGCGTCTGTTCAAGCGTCAGCCGCCCGCCCGCCACTTCTAATTTATTCTTAAATCTGTTTCTGTCCATATCATCACCTAACAATTATGCAGGTGGATGATAATCTACTATTCTAAGTCAGCGCAGCTGTTGATAGCAGTTATCTGTTATCACTTATCACTAGTAATAACAAAACTCTATACAAAGTATGTTATCAATAGGTCCGATTAAAAGTTCATGATTCACGTGCGCGTTTTTCAGGACTTCACGAATTTCTAATACCACTAAGACTGCAAATGCAGTAATGCAGTAATATACTATAACGTATAAAATTTCCGTGTGGTGATGGATTAAGAATACAGAGTGTCGCCACTCCTATTCATCCCGTGTGTGGTAAGAGCCGACTAAGGGAGCAAACTACGCAGGACAACAGCACTGCAAAGAGAAGGAAAACTTGTAACAAACCCTATAGAAACCCGTCGGGCCAGCGTGGTATAGTAGGCCAAAACCTCCTTTCTAAGGAGAGGCCTATGTCCAGTAGTGGACTGACATTTTTATATTAAATATTACAAAAAAAATAGGTTATTTACAAAGCTATTTTAAACAATACATTATTATTCCTTATCTAATTAAATACATTAGATATGTTGTTCATTTGATGTAGATTAAAATTGCTCTTTGTGCAGCATATCATTAAAATGAATATTTTAGAAGCTATTAGGGGTTTAAAATGCGGTGGCCAGCGACCGTCAAGCCGTACGTGCAAACGGCCCGGGTGCAAACGGCCGGCAGAACCGGAGCGGGCTTATAAATATTGCATTTAAAGATGACCTGTAGTATGGTCCTATCATAATAATAGTATAATTAATTACTCCACCCTGACACCACATTAGTAATATTAGTAGCATCTACATTGCACCCGTGCGAAGCCGGGCCGCTCGCTAGTGATTAATAAACTGTACGCTTCATTATTCAATTTACCACCCTAATGGTAGGTTTTTCTTTACAATTTCATCGAACCAAACGAGATGTGTATCCTGCTTTATTTCATTATCATCATCAACAGCCTTTAATTGTCCACTACTGGACATAAGCCTCTCCTTAGAAAGGAGGTCTTATTTGCTTTATTTGAAATTGATTAAAAAGTATTCCTAGTCTAAGTGGTGAATGACCTTAACTTGTATGTCACAGCCGGTGTGACGTCAAAAGTGCGTGTTGGACTTCAGTACGATTTCGCAGAATATATTTTTAGACGTGTTAAATATGGCAAGACAAGGGAGGTTTACGGCCTACACTTAAAGTATTATTTTCACTGATATCAACCACCATTTGTAAACGTCAATGTCATTCTATTTTTAATACGCTTTTATTGGCTTCGAACGTGATTTGGCCCATTTCAAAACGTCGAATTAAATTGAAACTTCACACACGTTTATCAAGGACCGATGACAATACAATAATTTAAATAGTTTATCCCATTATCCAGGGCCTCAATTCTGCTATTACGCCAAGCCATTAATAATGTATTATAATAAAAACAAATAAATCATTTCCTCAAAAAACGTAATATATTTTCAACTACCGATATTTATACCCGTGCCAATGGCTACTCGATGGCATCTCAATAGCGTGTCAGTGATATGACACTGGCTTGGCGTAAACATAAAATAGCAGAATTGAGGCCCTGATCAGTACCTTCAGGATTGACGGCTTTTTCCATACCTAAAACTAGATTAGTGTCTGTTGCCACGGCCTCATAGCTCGTGTTGAGTAATTATGTCGTTGCTGTTCACCGAGTGCGTGAAGTTGCCGGAGACCCAGCCTTCCCTCTACTCTCTAAACCAGGGATTCCCAAACTATTTTGGGCAAGAGACCCCTTTTCTAAAATAAACTGATACCTCATGCCCTCATAGCCAAATTACTGCGCGCTTATCACCTTGTTGGGTTTTTTAAAGTACAACAATAATACTTCCTAAGAAAATATTAATGATTCTTATAACAAGTTGATACACATAACACAACTAATACGGTATCTTGTAAGTTTTAAATAAGTACTTGTGTTAATTAATAGGGGTCGGTTTTTAGACTTCGTCGACCCCCAAAATCAGTTTTCATTTATGTCGACCCCTGGGAAACCCTACTCTAAACTCACTCAAAACCCAACACACTTGTCTCTCTTAAGTTGCGGATGTAAACACGTACCTACTACTTAGGGAATACTGAAAGTTTCTGGATTCTGATAAATAAGACTAGATATAAGACTTACAATACATTTATTGTTTTTCAAAGTATATTCCCTCGTAATTCCTTCATTCATCATCATCAACAGCCTTTAATAGTCCACTGCTGGACATAGACTTCTCCTTAGAAAGGAGGTTTTGGCCTACTATACCACGCTGGCCAGACGGGTTGGCATAGGGTTTGTGTCAAGTTTTCCTTCTTTTTGCAGTGCTGGTGTCCTGCGTTGTTCTGCGCCCTTAGTCGGCACCCACGGGATGAATTGGGGTAGTGACATTCCGTATTCTTAATCCGTCAATACACGTAAATTCAGTGAAACTATTGTATTATTAAAGGAAACGTACATCCACACGTATTACGTGCGGTATCCATCGAGTGCAAAGCTTCCGAACCTTCAGATGCACATGTAAAATGTTTTGCACTTGGCTCATTCCAATGCCTAACAAAGTACGAAATTGCTGGCAAGTATTTTTTTGTCAGTTTCAATAAGTTGTCTATTACCGCAGTCGTCGGCCGACCTTCACGTACCACGTTTAAATTCTCCAAATCACGAATACGCAGACCTGCGACATGGCGTTTCATCACCAAATGCCAATTGAAGTCTCTGGCAACTCTCTTGTTGACTTAAGCCACAACGAAAATCATAAAAAATCATATAACGAAAATGTTCAATGATTTTCGAAATACATCATCATTATCATCATCAGCCTATTGCAGTCCACTGCTGCACATAGGCATCTCTCTTTGCACGCCTCTTAGATTTTGGGCTTTTCTTTCTGCGAAATACGTCAGGATTAAAAAACAAATGACAGTGTCGCAAATTAAAAAGTAACATGTTCCCAAAGAGTTCCATTTTCGAATTCCATAATTATTTTTTCATTCTTTTATTATAAGTGGCCAGATCTAGAGACTTTCAGTATGCCCCAAATATCAGGTGAACCGTCTCCTAGTTTGCTTCCTATACCATAAAAAAAGTAAACCTCCTCCTCCGAGCCTTTTTTCTCAGACCAGTTTGGGGTCGACTTTAAGTCTATACAACTGAACTTCGGTTTTTTAAGTGGATCGACAACCACCAGACCTCCACAACCCAAGTACTAGACGATATCTGCTTATGAAAGCTACTGCTTTTGAGAGTATTTAGTTTGAAAGTACCATGTCGTGTGACTAGACGAACTCTCGCTAACGCAGGGTTGTTTTATCAACCACCTAAAAAAAATCTCGGGGCTATGTCGTTTGTCCAAAGTAAAGGCCTTCAACTAGCCTTAACGAACATCTGTGGGAAATGTTAATTTATTTATTTATTTATTTATTAGGTTAACTCACAGCACATATATGTAACATTAATGGTAAAATATTAGTAATAAGGTTCTGATATACATGCCACTTACGAGCTAACACAGCATTCACAGTTTGGACAACATATTAACAGAATCACATTGACATATAGGTATTCCATACTTAACTTAACTCTATTTGTCTGGTGAGTTTAGTGGTTGCAGTAACGATCAGTACATTCTTATCAGTCCCCATTGCGAGGTTTGCCAAATGATTCCCATATTTTTGCGCGAAACTGGTTCGCCCCGTCATGAAAACACATCAGCATCAGGCACAGTCTTGAGGAACGAATT